TTCACTTTTAAAAATGAAGATTTATTCACATTTATTAAAAATAATTATGTTTTTTACCTAAAAAATTATAATGAATATCAATTATTAAAACTAGAGAAATAAATAATTAAGATTTTGTATAAATATGATATATAAAATTTATATGTCAATAAATCCCTTCTCAAATAAAAAAAATTCAATTCTCATTCATGTCCCATAAAAAGGCATTGGCTATGGATACCTCAAAAAAATCAAACAATTTATATTTTGAGACATAAGGGGTAATAATTATTATCATGTTACAAACATATTTCACACAATAATTTATCTAGAAATATAAATTTTTAATTTTTAATGAATTTCTAATTAGTTTAGATTACACTTGAAAATAGTTGTAGATGGGCAATGGACAACCCTACTCTTATCAGTTTTGAGAAGAAAAGATTTAGGGGTAAACAGAAGCACAGGGCAGAGCAATCAGCAATACAGCTGCTTGCTCTTCTTCTCTCAACTCTCCTCTCCCTTGCTTCTCCATCGTTGGTTGCTGCATCATATCTGATTCATATATCTCTCCCTAAAGCTAACAATCTCACCTTCAAATTGTCAAGATCAACAAAATCAGATCCATTGTAGTCCAGAGGAAATGACACAAACAACCCTGATCATCAACAATATAAAGCAGCAGAACATCAACAAAACTAGAGTCATCAAGCTGGTTAAGTACCAGTGCAGCAGAGAACAGAGGGTCCAGAAAAAATGTAAATCCTAAACAAGGTTGCAGAAACATGTATAAAGCTCCCAAGTGCAGCTGGAATATCCAATCTTCTACTTGCCCTTTGTCTAGAATAAATAGAAATTAATTCACATTTTCAAAGAACCACGTTGTTCATATGAATCATTTCTGAACATGGCTGAAAACTAGCTTCTGGAGTCAATGAAATGTCTAGCTGTCCCCCAACTCATAACAAATCCTGTCCCAGCCTCCTAGTTTCAGTTTACTTGTCCATGATACATATTTCTACAGCTAAGGGATGTGCTGAATTGCATTCAGAAGCACAGAAATAAAATAAAATACAATCAGATTAAGTAATAACCAGTGGAGGGACAAATACATCAACCAAATTCTTCTTGTTGTCCGCAGTCATTTGATAGTTAAGCAAGTTCAGATTTTTCACAATGTTACACCTCCTCTACACTCACCACCCTTTTGCAACTCAAAACTGGTTTGACCTTCATCACTTGTCCAAATCTGTTCTCTATACCTTCCTTTATTCTTTTATGCAGAGCATCATCTAGCAAATCAGCCTCTCCCACTGAGTTCAGTGCCTCACAAACTAAGTTATAGGTATACTCTCTGGGAGCAGAGCCCCCCTCAACAAGTTCAACAAGAAAATCCCTAGCTTCCAACAGCCTTCCTGCTTCACAGAGAGCATGTATAATTGGAGTATAAGAACTTGCAGTAGGTATCCCATGATTCATCTTTTGCATCCTCCGCATCATTTCAATAGCCTTATCAATCTCATTAACAGCACTATAGTACCTAATAAAAGAATTATAGGTGACCCGGTTAGGGGCACAGCCCCTTTTGTTCATATCATCAAAAAGTTCCAAAGCCCTCTCAATTCGATTAGTTTTGCAACAACCATCAATCAAGCAATTATACGTCACAACATCAGGAACAAAACCCTTAAACAACATAATCCGAAACAGATGGTTTGCCTCCCACAACCTTCTCCTAATGGCCTTCCTGCACCCAGTTTGCATGCTATACTTGCAGTAAGAACTAATCAATATAGTATACGTATATACATCCGGTGGACATCTAAATCCAGGCAACTCCATCTGCTCTAGCAAGGCCCTGGCTTTTCTAAAATTCCCTACCCTGCAAAGAGAATGAATAATCATATTATAAGCAACAACATCCTGTTTGCACCGAAACTGCTTCATCCTATAGAAAACAGCCAACGCCTCATTAACTAACCCCTCTTCTCCTAGGACTTTAATCAAACAGGTGACGGTCGCAGTAGTTACGAGCCCGCCGCCATCCCTCCTGGCCATCTCTTTGAGAAATTCCCAAAGACCCTTAACCATATTCCCTTTAGCCAACACACAAGCCATCTCTCTACAAGTCATCTCATTATGGGCAAACCCAAAATGGGTCTCGACCCAGTAATAGAACTCCAGTGCCTTGTCCAACCCCAAATCGGCTCGTTTTGGGTCTCTATAAGCGGCAGGGCCGAGAAGAAGAACATTGTCACGGATTTTAGCAAATTCTTGTTTGAGGTTTCTTTGTTTCAATGGTGCACGGTGGCGGAAACCCTTTTGGCGACCAACGGAGCGAGGGGACTGGAAGAAGAACCTGGGAACCGATCTTAAGACGTCGGAGACGGAATCTGTAGTCCATGGATTGGCGGAGGTGGTTGAGGTTGCGAGTATGGCATCAAAGGGGCGGTTTTGGAGCATGACTGAGATTACCTGGTGGACGACGGAGGTGTGATTGCGGTGCAGAGGTTTTGTTGGGACCATTTTTTCATCGGAGTGTTTCAAGCGACGCTTCTTTTAATTTATGCAAATAGGTCAATTTAGCGTTTTAAAGTCTTCAACTAAGCTCCTAAACTTTTCTCTTTTACTCAATTTTAGCCTTCAAATTTATTTCTTTATATAACCTAAAGTGGATATTTCAATTGATAAGAATTTCGTTCTACAAATTAGATATCTTACGTTGAAATATTAAAAGGTATAGGAAAGGTTGATATAATCCATCATTAATTGTATAAAAATAAAAAAAGAAATCAATTATTGTTATTTTTTATTTAGTAATTAAGGTGTTTATAAATCAATCTGCACATATCAAAAAATTATTTTTTCTTAATTTAGTAGAAAATAAGATGTCCATACTGAGATTAAGAAATTTATAAAGAATTATATTCTTATTAGCTTTCTTAAAGAATCAAACCTTAATCAATAAGAGAAAAAATAAATTTTTTACCAACTAAATTATAACTTTTTGAGCAACAAATTATTGTTACTTGTCAAAAATTCAAAATGTTGACTTAGATAACACCTAAAATATATTTTTACAAAGTGATTTAGAACACGTTCAATTGTTTGATGAGATCATATTTCAAAAGTCAATCGTGGATGATATCCTTCTTAACTGCTAATAGAAGAATAGACAGAGTTGTTATTCTCAAAAAGAATTTGGAGTAACAAAGCAGTCAGATAAACCAAGAGGAGGGAAATGGACTTAATTGACTAAGAGTATAATCTTAGTGACTAATCTATTGGATTTTCATTTATTCAAGGAGCTCGTCTGGATCACGCGGATCGCGTGCCCAAGACGCAACATGCACTCCTCACTCAGACAGCTTAACCACTTACTAACTAACTTCGGCATTCATTTTCTTCTTCTTTCAAATCCCCCCCCCCCCCTCTCTAAACCCTAAACCAATGCCTCCGCCACCCTCCGACCTCCGCCCTGTGGATCCCAGGGTCTGGCGTGCCTGCGCCGGCTCCTCAGTTCAAATCCCCGCCCTTCATTCAAGGGTTTACTATTTCCCCCAGGGTCACATTCAGCATTCATGCCACTCCGCTCCCCTCCTCTCCCCTCTCGCCTACTCCAAACCTCTCATCCCCTGCGTCGTCTCTGCCGTTCATTTCCTTGCCGATCCTGTTACCGATGAAGTGTTTGCTAGGCTCTTCCTCCTCCCCGTCCTTGAACCTTCCAGAGCCCCTAACCAATTTTTTGTGCGGAGAAGTGCGAATACTTGGGATGATGATGATGATGGTGATAATTGCAGGATTCTTTCCTTCGCCAAGATTCTCACGCCATCCGATGCTAACAATGGTGGCGGTTTCTCTGTCCCCCGGTTCTGTGCGGACTCCATCTTCCCGCCCCTCGACTACCAAGCTGATCCGCCTGTCCAGACGCTCTCCGCCACCGACGTTCACGGCGCTGTCTTTGAGTTCCGCCACATCTACCGGGGCACGCCGCGTCGTCACCTTCTTACTACTGGCTGGAGCAAGTTCGTCAACAATAAGAAGCTCATTGCTGGTGACTCTGTCGTGTTCATGAAGGATTCAACCAACGGCCAGATGTTCATTGGAGTTAGACGCTCAGTGAAGGTGGCGACTGGCGGTGATTATGCTAGGTGGCGTGAGCCAATTTCCGGGGAAGGAATTGAGGTGGAAGGGAGTGTTGAGGATTTTTCCAAGGGAGGAAGGGGAAGGTTGACGTCGGAGGCAGTGGTAGAGTCGGTGGAGAGGGCTGCTATGGGGCTGCCATTCGAGGTTGTGTACTATCCGAGAGCTGGGTGGACGGATTTTGTAGTGAGGGCGGAGGCAGTGGAGACTGCACTCAGCATTTCGTGGGTGGGAGGAATGAGGGTGAAGATGGCAGTGGAGACTGAAGATTCCTCACGGTTGTCATGGTTCCAGGGAACGGTTGATTCTGCTGCACCAGAACACGGATGCTGGGGTGCCTCTCCTTGGCAAATACTTCAGGTAATAATATTCTTGTTCCTGGTTTTGCAGTGTTTTCTGGATGAAACTCTTAGCATTGAATATTGCATGTGTATCTTTTTAGGTTTTCGTTGCAAATTATTGATGCCATATAGTAAATTCTAAGAGTTCAGTAGAAATTAATGAAAGGCAGAAGTACTTAATGGTTTGGATGTGTTGAGGTGACCTTGCATTTAGAGTAGATAGTGAAATTGATGCACATCAATGGATTTGTTGATCATGCCCATCTTCTATGGATGGGTAGCCAACCAAGAATTATCTTGCAATCAACATGGATTTGTTGACTATGAATTAATTGGAGCAGGGAGTCTCCCTGGTAAAATTGGCAAAAATCATACATGTAAGTGTTGGGAGTGGGTTCCTTCTGAGCCTTAACATCAACAAGGCGCAATGGTTCTTTCATCATATGCATGTGCTAGATATATAAGACACCCAAACTAAAAACCTCATGTGGATAGTTGGTAGTTGATTTAGTGTGCTATTGTCAAATACCAATTATTTGTGATAGATAAAATGGCTTTTATTTGTATAGATGGGCCATGTTCTAACTTCTAACCAAAATTCAAATGGAAAGTGACATTGTAACGTGTAGATTGTTCATCTTCTTTCTATGAGATGTCTTAGAGAGTCAGACCATTCCTTATCTGCACTTTACTGAGGCATTTGTGGAACATTGTTTGAATGAAAATGGTTGTATCTTGATATTAATCAGAGTCAGATAATGAGTTTTGTTAACTTTTTCTGGTGAATGCCTAAGTTTGTATCATACAATGGGAACTATTGTCGGAGCAGATTTGACTAACCAATGATGGTACTGAAAATGAATAACCATAGGAAGGAGAAAAATCTACCAGATGGGTCAGTAAGTTTGTTTTTGTACTTGATTTTGCTTGTCTTGTCTTGCCAATGATAATTCTGAAAACGGGAGATTGTTTAATTTGCAATCTTCTGAGAGGTGTATGGTTAAATTTTCATCCATCTTCCTTTTTGTGTGTGTGTGTGTGTGTGTCAAAGGTTATATGGGATGAACCTGAAGTTCTGCAGAATGCAAAGAGAGTGAGTCCATGGCAAGTTGAATTTCTTGCCCCCTCACCACTTCATACAGCATATCCCCCAGCAAAGAAATTAAAATTTCCTGAGAATTCTGGCCTGACAGATGGAGAAGGAGATATCATCTTTCCAATGAGTGGAATAACTAATTCAACAATGGGTCAGATAAATTCATCACTGTTGAATTACTATTTTCCTGCTGGCATGCAGGGAGCCAGGCACGACCATTCTAGGTTACTTAGTTTAAGCAACTTTGTAACTCAAAGTAACCCTATAACATGCAACAATAATCTTTCTCGAGATTGTCTGGTGCCAAAGTTGAAAAGGGTGTCCACTGAACTCAACATTGGCAGCACTCATTCTGACAACTTATCGCCTGATAGCCAGAGTAGTGTGCATTCTTTTAGCACAGAACTTGTTGAAAACAAGAGATGCAACTCAACCAAAGTTGGTATCAGTTCACTTCAGCTGTTTGGTAAGATCATTTATATGAAGGAGCCCATTGATAGTGGTTCTGATGATGTTGGTTCCCTGGAAAGCAATGAAACTGAAGTTGTACGCAGTGAGGTAGATCTTCCCTCAGAATTTTGCTAGAGGTGCTCAATGTTGCATGGAAGAACCTCAGATGTTCAGTTTTCCTCTTAAACAATTGCAATGTGTCTGTGTCATGCAGATGAGTAGCTGTACAGGTATATGACTTTATTCCGGTTGGACTTCATTATCTGTTGGTGCCACTAAGATTTTTAATGTTTAGTTTTGAGTTTTATAATGATTTCTTTAAGTTGGCAACGCAAGTCTGACCAAATTTTCTTGAGATGCTTCCCTTTTGTCCAGCCTCAATACACATAAGCTTTATTGTGCGGAGCGTCCTGGTCTAGCTACAAAATTTGCGATTTTAGTGTCATTTTTTTCCCGTATATGTAATGATGCTCTTAGTTTCACATTCATTTCTAGACCAATATGGCTAAGAGTGTGAATGAAAAGGTTTGCCCCTTTTATCACCACTAACATTTGCACTTAATCTTTGGTTGCAGGTACTTAGGCTTGCAAGATGCTGAACACCTTATGTCACCTTTTAGTTAGAAACTTCTATGATGATTTTAGTTTCGGTGTTGGAAACTCAGACGTTTATAGAATTAGTTAGAGTCATCACCAAATTCTAAGTGATCATCTATATATGTATAGTTTCATAACTACTTTTTTTAATGTTTTAGATGGCAATTCTGGATGATTGTGGGAAAATTATATGGCATCTTATTTTAGTTTATTCCTTACTTTTTGATATATAAAATGATGGGTTATATAATAAAAGATAATTCTCTCATTTTCGAACCCCTCTCCACCCATGTCATGAGTTTAAGATGTCTAATGTGGAGAATCAAGTTCTCAACCCCCAAACATCCCCTTGGGATATTTACAAATTTATAGGGCTGGCTTATGCATTATATTTTAATGCAGAACTATCTTTGTTGACTGTCATTTACTACAAAGTAAGATAAAAGTAAATAGAACTTTACGTCTTTACCCCAAAAGGATGGAAATTCCAATTACACAAGCATATCTTTCTATTCATAACATTCTTAACGTAAGCAAGCGACTGAGCATTTTGCATCTTGTCAATTCCAAAGCGGAAGTGGAATGGGGAAGTTGAAATAAAATAATTTGATATACTCAAGATGGCCATACCTTCTGATACAAAAAAAAAAAATCTATTATCTTACATGCTCTGCTGTTCTCCTACTTGTTCACATTGGCTCTTGGACTAAATTTTCTCCTGAACTTCTTGATCATCCTGGTCCTTCTGTTCTGAGTTTTTGTTTTCGACTTTTCTAACATTCTTTTACCCGCCTCTATATCAGCTTCAATAACTTTGTTCCTTTTTTCATCTGATAGCAAAGCCAGTCTAGCAAATTTCTTTGGCCTCACCAATCCAAGCCGCTCGGTTATATCCTTAAAGGCAGGAACAAGGCCACGTCTAATAAAACACCCTTCAATTAATTGAATTGAGTTTAATTCCGGGAGGGATGGAGAATCCCTCAATTCAAGATCCAAGCAAAATGGTGAGTCCTTCAACCACATCCTAAGAGAGTGAGCTTTAGCCACAAGCAGACCACTCCGTGTTTTGCAAGGAAGAAATGGAGACCCCATTTCCCAAAGGCATGCCTTTAACGTGCTGTTAAGTGAAACCATATTGTACTCTGCCATCCCAGTTATCAGAGCAACAGATTTCGGAGAATCTGGATAGCCTTGCAGTGACGCATCCTGTATTTGCATATTAAACGCATGGTATGTATGTGAAGAACATATTGAACATATGGAGGTGGCAATAATGAACTTTATTCACTAAATTAGTAGGTGTCTTACATTCACATAATATTAATATCTCATGGAACATCTCCATTCCCCATTATATGTAACCTACAACTACTCTAATTGTTTCCCTTTGTGGATGATAATTAAGTTTAACAAAATAGTAACATCACATAATTTGTAAACTGGCATGATTTATCTTTATTAGGATTTCCACTTTTAACATTATAAACTCAAATAGTTAATGAACTCTAAACCTAAAAAAGAGAAAAAGAACTTGCCTGCATACAATCAAGCCATAAAGTAAGACCAACCAGGGCTGAACCTGCTGACAACTTTCTAAAGTCAGCACCCCAATCCTTTTCCGCTACCCTGGATCAAGACCACAGTATATTAGGATCAAGAAAAGAAATCTGTTTTACAAGCAAATTCCCTATGAACACCTTTTCTCCAGTTTAGCCAGAATATGTTTGCTTGCCCATGTTTAAAAGCATATCTAAGAATCATTTGTATTGATTACTGAGATCTCCCTTCAGCCCCTTTCTAGAGTGGTTTAAATCAAATTTGAAGTTAAAAAAAATAAAAAAAAAAACGAAGAAGCTATATAAGTTCTAGACATTCAGAATTTTAACCAAACTGTCATAATGAGACTGAATTCACACTCAACATTAACTAAGGGGAAGAAAGAAGACTATATATGTTCTTATATAATCCTTGAAATTGTTCTTCGAGCTTTCTTTCCTTTGACCTTCCTGTTCTCATACATCAATTAAAGCTACTAAAGACAACCCGATATGAACATACCTGAATACATCCTGGCGATAAATGCACCTTTTAATTGCCAATTGGAAAACCCATGAAGCAGTAGCTCGAAGTTCAAATGCCCACAACAGATCCTCCAAAGCATTCACAAAGTTAAAGGCTGCATTGTCTTCCATGGGTTCTAGTTTCTGCAGACAATTGTCCACCTCTGAAACTAGTAACTCAGATCTTTCTGTCATAAGCCTAGATAAAACAATTATTGGAAAATAATTATACAGAAAGAAATAGAGAAAGAAGAACTTTTCTGGCTTCAAGATAGGGCCTTAGCCCTAAAGTAATAAAAGAATACCTGATAGGAAGATCAAATCCAGCATCACGAAGTGCATTTAAGAGGAAAATAGCCTCATTTGTGTGCTGTGACAAACTTGCAGCCTTGATAAAGCATGTCCATATTCTGTGGTCTGCTTCCAGGCCTTCTTTCTTCATCTCCATTAGCTTTTGAATTGCAATATCATGATCTCCATTCCGTAGATAAGAGTCAATAAGTGTACTGTATGGTAATGTAGTAAGGTTGAATCCTGTTTGTTTCAAATTAGTAAGCACCTGTTCAGCTTCCTGTGGTTGTCCAGAGCTTCCATAAGAAAGCATAAGCAAGTGCATTGTGGCAAGACTGGGCTCCACTCCAGCCTCTTTCATCATGCTCAATAGATTTTCAGCTTTAGAATGATTTCCAGAGTTTCTATATATTTTCATCATTGTATGGTAGAAAGAGCGGTCCAACTTGTAACCATTTGAGCACAACTCATCAAATATTTCCTCAGCCTGTTTGGGGAGTTGCATCTTGCCAAATGCTGAAATCAGGCTTTTGTAAGTGTCCAGTTTAGGGTCTAAACCTACTTTCCTCATTTCGTGCATCAAAGACAAACCCTCTTCAGGTCTATGATCTCTGCAGTACATTATGATCAAAGTGTTGTAAGTATCCTCATCTGGTTGAAGTCCAGCTTCTTGGAGCTGCTGGTATATTTGGGCTGTCTTTTTATAATCCTCAATTCCTGAGTACAATTTAAGCATACAATTCCAAATTGGAAGATCAGGCTGAAACCCTGCTTGATCCATATCAGATACCATAGCTTCAACATCCCTTACTCTCTTTCCCTTGCAGAACAACCTAATCATAATCCTGTAAAGATGCATTGAAGGAAAATAGCCAGCAGCTTTCATTCCATGGTATATCTTCTTTACCTCATATACATTTCCAGCTTGTACAAATGCATCAAGCATCAAAAGAATAGAACTCTTGCTTATCTGAAAACCCATATCTTGCAACTCCTGAATTACCACATAAAGCTCATTCAATCTTCCATCAATAATCAAAGCTTGCAAGAGACCGTTAATGGAATCCATGGTTGGGGAAGGACCATCTCTCATCATTGTATTGAAAACAGCCCTTGCTGGCTCGTAGCAACCACTCACAGCATAAGCTTGAATTAGTGCATTCCAGACCTTCCTATCCACACTTGCATGTCTTTGTCTGATATTTCCCACCATACTTTCAGCCTTCTGCCAGAGCTTCAGCCTTCCATATGCCTCAATAACATCAACATAAATGGTACACTTATCAAATAGAATACCTTTCCTTTCAGCCAGAATAATCAAATGATATGCTGTTTCAGGAAAGCCCATTTTACAATAAACCATCACCATAGCCTGGAGAAAACTCTCAGAAGGTTCAACACCATAGAATCTCATATCAGAAAAAACCTGAGAAGCATCAGCAAGACGTTCATTTTCTATACAGCCCTGAACAAGGGACTCATACATGGTACAACTCCTGCCAAAAAAACCAAAGTCTCTAGCATTACTGTATTCCTTTAAGGCAGCATCTAACTCAGAGGCCTTGCAAAGCACAACAACTAGGGCTTCAGTTAGCGATTGCTTGGGGCTTTCAGTATGTTCTCTTAGGAACTGAAGTAACTCACGTGCCTCCAAGTGCCTTCCAGATGAACTATATGAACTCAAAATAGATAACAAATTTTCATGGTCCACTGCATAGCCATTGCTTATGCCTGTTCTTAGCATATCAGCAGCATGGTCGCAGCATTCACTTTTGACAAGAAGAGAAGAAAGAGCCTGTGGGGTCATATCACATAGTTCTTCCATGTGCCTGATCAATTCCTGAATATCTTCTACTTTGTTTTCACTATTAAGTGCCCGAAGCATCGCCTCATAAATGGCACTATCTGGTGTGAAACCATCATGAATCATTTCGCGATATAGCATTGTTGCCTTCTTTGTCTTATTACATCTCAGAAAGACATCCAACATAACAATGTATGCCAAGCGATCAGGTCTAATCCCAGACCGCAACATGCAATCAAACGTCTCCACAGCCTCCACTTGCATGCCAGCCCTGGCATACCCACAAATTAAAGCACTATAAGTCTGCAAAGTGGGTTTGACTCCTGCATTCATCATCTCTGACATTACACTGGAGGCCTCAGTTATCTTGTTTGCTTTACCAAGCGAATCAATTAAGACAGTGTATGTAACTGCATCTGGATTCTGCCCTGACAGTTTCATGTCCCTGTAAAGCTTCAACGCTAGATCATGCTGGCCCTGCTTCCCATACATGTGAATGATTGTATTGTAGGTCATCTCATCTCTACCAAACCCCACTTCAACCATTTCTTCACAAATCTCTTTCACCTTATCTACATTCCCTTCTCTTGCAAAAGCATACAATAATGAATTGTATGTCACAGCATCTGGAAAAAACCCCTTTGACTCCAAATGTTTAAATAGCTGCTCTGCTTTATAAGGCATCCCACATCTTCCATAGACTGAAATCATAGCATTATAAGTCCATAGATCAGGTTGACAACTGTGAGTTTCCATATCATCAAAAACTTTCATTGCTTCTTCCAGATTCGAGTCACGTGAACAAGCACTGAGAAGAGTATTATAAGTTATTACATCTGGTCTAAGACCAGAACTCCTGACCTCATTCAGAAGTTCAATTGCCAAATTAGGCACCAGAGAACCAGCCTTCAATCTAGCATTTATCAAGGTGTTAAAACTCACAAGGTCAGGCTCACACCCTTTCTGACGCATTGAATAAAGCAGTTCTTGTACCTTATTGAAACGTCCACTGCGTGCATAGACACCCATCATGGCATTGTACACCTGCACAGTGTTTCCTAGGATGGGCTCAGCTCGCATAAAGATTTCCACAGCCAAGGCCTCTTGATTGGCCTTCCCCAGGACTGCCAATATTGTGGCAAGCATCCGGGAATTAGGCGAAAACCAACGCCGCAAATTAAGCCACTCATACACCTCCAGGGCTCGCTGCCAGTTCTCCTGGCCTACCCACTTAACCACAAAGCAAAAATCAGTGGGGGTCATCTGCACCTTCCTATCATCCAACACATCAGCCACAAATTGACCTTGTTTCAGTGCTAGAATCCTATCAGTCAACAATTTCACTCTCTCCCTCCAGTCCTTAGCCCTCTTTAAGGCCAGTTTGTTCATTTTCTTAACCCTAGTCTTGCTAACCCTACCCAAAACTTCTTGGCTCTCATCACTAATCTCCAAAGGTTCCAACCCCTCAACATCCCGGGATTCCCCTTTTCCTTCAGGATTCGAGGTCTCAACCTCAAACCCACCGTCATCAACGACATGGGTCAGTGTCGGAGAGACAACGGCAAGGTGGGTATCCGATGAAGGGTTGTTTTGAGTGGTTTTAAGGTGGGGCCATCTAACAGATGGTGAGGCTCTCCGATAGCTAAATTTCTTGGAACTTTTAGGAGCGATATTATCATTGTCAGTATTACTATCAGACGATTGTTGTATAGCAGGCGTCACAACAACAGAAGCAGAACAGCAGCATGAGACAGAAGTGTTTTTACATACCTTGGGTGGCGGAGATGGAAAGACCAGAATTCCGGTGCCGGCCATGCTCAGTTCTCACCAGTCCATAGATGTCTGTCGCAGAAACTCGAAGGAATTCAGTAGATATTTTTTTCATTTTGGCGGGGTTTTGTCATTATTGAAGAAAAGCTTCAAAGTTCGTGGCTTTTGTCAACGTCGGCGGTGTTTAACCGATATACCTTATCGGCAAAGAGAACCGATATACGGGATTTTTTAATTTTAATTTTGTAATACATTATTTTATTTTAAATTAGATAATAAAAATCATTATCTCTATAGTGTATAATTCAAAGTTGAGATCTTTTATTTTATTTAAAAAAATACAAAATTTCATGTTTCGTTTGTTTCTTCAGTGTAAATGATCCTAATTTTAAAGTATTTTCTCTTAAATATTTATGGGATACATCTATAAACATTTTTCTCCTGGTTTAAAACGAACTTTTGAAATTATTAAAACTATTTTCAGAGAAAAAAAAAATTTCAATGCTAAAGGGAGAAAAATCGATACTGTTAATAGACGAATTATTATTATTACATTTACCAAAATCCGGTTGTACTTGTTACGCTTGCTAATTCATCCTATACCACTGCCAATTCTGACGAATCCGTCGCTGAAACCAGACTGTGTCTTCTTGGGGACGGCTTACCATTGTACGGATTGATTTCGACGAGGAACTGCATTTTCATGAATTCCAAAAAGGCCAGCAGCTGCGCTATCTGCGATAACCTCAATCGCGCTTCCATCTGCACCATCTGTGCCAATTACCGGTAAGGCAATCCCTCGATTACATGCTTGTTTCCTATTCTGCACAATCTCTTCTCCAAATCCTGATCTTGATGAATACTTAGTTATAATTTTGGCATTTCTTTAATATTTTTGCAAAATCTTCAGCGAATTTAGCTTTGTCTCGCTTGATCGTGCAGATTAAATGAGTATCAAACCTTGTTGAAATCGCTCAAGAGTCGTCGGGATTTCTTGTTTTCGAAATTGAGTCAAGTGCTGGTGGCAAAGGTTTGATTTTTTTGAGTTCTTAAGGATACTGATGATCAGGTTAGAGTTTTGCCTAGTTTTATGTTAGATTTTGTCATATCTATCAGGGAAAAGCAGATGATCAACTTAACTGGAAAGTGCATCAGAATGAAAAGCTAGCAAACTTGAGGGAGAAACTACGCCGGAGTAAACATCAACTAGCACAAGGTTTTAGAATGCTAGATGCTTACTTGTTTACTGCCTGATGGGCCTTGGGTTTTGAGTATTGCGAATTTGTGTATTTCTACTTAGACAAAGCTAAATGGTGCCTTTTCAGGGAATGCTAAGATTGAGAGTCTTTCATATGACTTAAAGGTCAAATATGGGGTGCTTGAATCCGCTCTTAGTCTGGTACTGTTGGTGTTCCTTGTACTCCTTCATGATATCTTACTTTCACTGTAAAGTTAGATAGGTTATGCTTAAAATTTGTCTTTGCAGCTTGAAAAGAATCGCAGGGAACAACTGGAAAAGTTCTCTCCCAACCTTATTTACACTCAGAGCTTGGATCATGTAAGGATTATTATGGGCATATTCATTTTGATGTCTCAACATTTTTTAATCCCTATTGGAATTCTATATCTTCTATTAGTGAATAAAAACCATTTTGGGTCATCACCTACGAGCCTAAGCATTTAGGTTCCTGGTTAATGACATGGAATCACTTTGGCTTAGTGGTTCAATTGAAATGTATAATCCTGTCTGCCCCTTATGTTGTTAATAAAGTTGCAACATAAGGTATGTGGTGGCTCTGTGCTTTGTCCATACTCCATTCCTTTTTGGTCCAGTGGTCTTTTGAATGAGGAAGCGGTTGGTACTTGGTGGTAAAACCATTCTGAACCCTCATCTATGAGGTTAAACTTTTGGGTTGAGCAGTCTTGACACCTTCTATTAGAATGTCAAGAGTGATATTTTTTTTTGCCATTAATGAGTGATATCTCTCGCATGAGGATAATTTACTACTTTGTTTACAAGTGCAGAGACCTGAGTTGCTGTTGTTTCTTCTAGTCCATTAAAATATGATGTTTCTGTTATCTTAAAACATTATCTGACACATTTCTTTGTTACAGATGGCAGTTACCTCAGAACGTCTTCATAAACAGTCTGTCATCATAAAGCAGATATGCAAGCTGTTCCCACAACGTCAAGTAAGCTCTTCTGAAATGAAAGTCTGATATCTTACTGTAAATATTAAATGGTTTCAATATATACCTGTTTCCCCTTCTCTTAACTGTTTGTGTAATAATCATGTTTCTGCTCAATTATTTCATTCTAAGGTTTTCTTTGTATTCTTCCTGGTATTGTCAAGGACATTTCTCCTCAGCATCTATCTCTTCAACTTAGGCACCAATTGTCCTGAGTTATAATCATGGATTTTTTTTGTAATCTGACCAAATTCCTATTTCTTCTAGGTTAATCTAGATGGAGAGAGAAGAGATGGTTCCACTGCTCAATATGACTTGATTTGCAATGCACGCTTGCCAAGAGGGCTTGACCCACAGTTTGTTCCACCGAAAGAGCTTGCTGCCTCATTAGGGTAATTTGTCTTTAGCTTCTTTCTGTAAAGCTTGATGTTTGGATGGAAATCACTACAGTCCTGCTCCTCACCATCCTCAGTTATTTCCATGTAACTGGGCATGATATGAAGGCCATCTCTCCCTTCGGTTTTAATTTTGTTTCATTTTCTTCTTATTTATTTTAGCATGAATCTTATTTCTTCTGATGCTTGTTGGCAATCCATTTGGTTAAAAACAGATACATGGTGCAACTCCTAAATCTTATCGTACATGTCTTAGCTGCCCCTGCACTTCACAACTCAGGTTTTGCGGTATGCATCAATTGCACCCTCTATATTTCTTTGAATTTTTTTCTGGGGCCTGAAGGGATCTAGGTTGTCAATAGATTTAAGGAAATAAATATTTGAGCGTTTCATTGGTCACATTATTGATTCCAATAATTTTACTTCAGGGGTCTTGCTCAAGGATATGGCAAAGAGATTCTTATTGGGATGCACGTCCTTCATCTAGAAGGTATATTAGTTAGAGATATTAGATATTGCACGTAGTTTTTTTCCTACTGGGACTGACCACAATGGTGCTATGCAGCAATGAATATCCTCTTTTCATACCTTGTCAAAATTATTGCTCCACTAGCGGGGATAATTCAAGGACAGATAGAAGGTCTAGTAATTTTGTTGTTGCTTCAATGGAATATGAAGGAAAGCCCCGGGCAGATTCTTGTGGAAGTAATAGCTTCAACCATTCTTCTGCCTCTCCTCATTCTGTCGAGACAAACAAGGATTTGCAGAAAGGGATATCTCTTCTTGAGAAAAGTGTGGCATGCATAACATCTTACTGTTACAACTCATTGTGCTTGAATGTTCCAACTGAGGCGTCTACCTTCAAAGCATTTTCCACACTATTGGCAACACTGTCCTCCAAGGAAATCCGATCTGCGTTTTCCCTGAAAATGGCTTGTTCAAGGTACATGTTCCTATTATTGTTGTTGAGAACCAAACATTTCATAGATGGTCTTCATGATAATCAATTGCTCGTCTGTTCTATAATATTTCAATTCATTTCTTTTTGTCAGGGTTCTGCATTATGTTTTATCTTCTGATTTTCAGGTCATATAAGCAAGTTCAACAATTAAATAAATCTGTATGGAATATGAACTCTGCCATGTCGTCAAGCACTTTACTGGAGAGCGCACATGCACTGCCCATAACGGTACAAACTGAGCTTTGACATCGTTCTAGAATTATATATAGTGTCAGCCTATGGATGGATTCTGCGATCAGTTAAACTTATAACAGAGTTCATTCATTTTGCTTTGCAGAAAAGCATTCCGAACCAAAACGTTCCGAGTTCTGCTGCTAGTTCTCTTGACACTACTGAGATCTCCGATATTGGAAAAAATGAAAGTCTAATTGATGAATGGGATCTTGTGGAGCATCCAACTCTTCCCCCTCCGCCATCACAAACTGAAGATGTTGAGCATTGGACTCGGGCTATGTTCATTGATGCTACAAAGGGATGATCTGATTCCTGAAAGTTTATATAGTCTCAAACACATCTTAGCTGTATAAATAGCGAGCTCATGGCTTAAAATGTGATATAGAGATAATCTTGTATGTATGCACATCTGATTTCGGCTACCTAACAGGTGAAGTCATGCCTGTTCGCATCTGAAATCGTCTATTACCTGTCTAAAGATTTTTTTTTTTTTTTTTTATCAGCAAAGTGAATTATTATATAAAAGATAAATGGAGTATAAGAGATACTCTTGCCCTTTTACAAAAAAAGAAAACAATACTCCCTGCACAAATAAAAAGACACTGCAGGAGCACAAAAAAATGGAGATCCTGAAAGAACAAGAATAATCAGTAAAGAACACACTTCAACTAAACTGAAGTCATTTCTGTTGCTGATTAAACATCTTCAGGGATTTCTTGTATCGCTTCAACTCCCTTGCACACTCCAATGGGTTACTTTGCCACTGGACCAACGAAAAAACACATCCAGTCACCTTATTTTTTACCCAAAAGTGAGTTTTAACTTGAATTAACTCCAACAATTGCTCCCTAATATCCTCCTCCCTCCAAAATACCAAGACATTTCTCCTATACCACAAATACCAAGCAGTAACAAGAAAAATGAAAGCTCCCATCTCCTTGCCTACCAAACTGCCTAGCTCGTAGATGAAAGTCTCTGCCACACCCTTCACTGTATCCGGCATCACCAGCTCCATACCCCACCACTTAATCATCTTAGCCCAAACTACCCACGCTTCCATGCACGTGCAAAATAAGTGATCCACCTCCTCCACCCCCTTCTTGCATAATCCACACATCATATTATCCCCCTGAAAGGTCACTCCTCGTTTCTGTAAATTCCTTCTAGTTGGGAGTCTATCTAAGCATAATCTCCACCCAAAAATACTCACTTTAGAAGGCACCAACCTGCACCATATCAATTTACACAATTGGCTGTCCAACAAGCATTCCACAGGAGCTAAAAAATCAAAAGCTTTTTTTACTATATACCTACCCTCCACATCATACCTCCACTTCCAATAGTCACCTACATATTTCCTAAGCTAAATAGTACCCACTACCTTCCACAACTCCTTTTCCTCATCTTGCTCCCGACCCATCCTTTTCCTTCGCCACCCTATTTCCCATCTCCAACTATCCCCTTCCCAAAACCCGTACTCCTAAACCATACCCTCCTTGTTTGTGGCTAATTGAAAAAGTCGTGGGAATGAATCTCTTAAAGAATTATTCCCTACCCAGATTTGTCTCCAAAAACCCACCCTGCTTCCATCTCCTACCTCCCATTTAAACCCCTTCACCAGCATAGATTTTAATCTATTGGATTTCCCACCTATTCTAAGAATGTCCCCCCAAATCTTTGACACTCGCAGCTTCTCCACATCTGAAATATTGACCTCCTGCCCACCTCCATAATATTTCTCTATCACTACCCGTTTCCATAACCCCTCCTTTCCATCCCCTAGCCTATACCACCATTTTCCTAACAAGGCCCAATTTCTACGGAGTAAATTAGGAACTCCTAGTCCTCCATTCACCTTGCTACCACAGATATCCTCCCATTTCACCCACGAAATCTTCCTCTTCTCGTCATTCCCCCCATCCCCACCACCCCACAAAAATACCCTTTGAATTTTAACTAATTGAGCATTCACAGAACTTGGCATCAATAATAAAGACATAAAAAAAGTAGGGAGAGCAGAAAGTACCGACTGAAGTAGCGTGAGGCGACCGCCAAAGGACAGTAGGGCAGATTTCCAGACGGCAAGTTTACCACAAAACTTTCTAACTATTGGATCCCAAAACTTCTTGTTCCTTGGATTTTCACCAATCAGCATTCCCAAGTAAGAGAAAGGTTTCACCCCTATACCACATCGAAGCGTACCTACAGCTCCTCTTACCCAGCTCTCTTTCACATTAAGTCCATAGATACTGCTTTTGCTGTAGTTAATCCTCAGCCCTGACATTATCTCAAACCATCTTAGAATAGCTTTGACCATAAGAATATTTTCACTGTCAGCTCTTCCCAAGATAACCGTATCATCTGCGAATTGCAGCAAGGAAACCCTCAGCCCCCTTTTACCAATCTCTATTCCCTGTAACAGTCCTTCAGACTCTGCTTTTTTAACCAATCCATTTAACCCCTCCATAATCATAGAAATAGGAATGGAGACAAAGGATCCCCTTGCCTCAACCCTCTCTCCAAATCAAACTCCTCCGTTGGGCTGCCATTTACCAACACCGAACACCGTGCAATTGAGAGACATTCCTTAATCCACCCCCTCCATTTGGCTCCAAAACCAAATCTATCCATCATCCAATCCAGATATGTCCAGTTAACACAATCGTAAGCTTTTTGAAAATCTGCCTTAAAAACAAAAGTTGGTGTCTTCCTATTCCGAACCTCATCCACCACTTCATTTAAAACCAAGACACTGTCAACTAATTGTCTTCCCCCAATGAAAGCAGATTGTGTTTCACTGATAATTTCTAACATAACATTTTTAAGTTTATTAGCTAGCACCTTTGACAGAATTTTGTACACACAACCTATCAAACTAATAGGCCTAAAGTCTTTCAATTCCCTAGGATTCAACTTTTTAGGAATTAACGTAAGGAAAGAAGAATTCAGCCCCTTTACTATCTTACAACTTTGATGAAATTCTCGAAAAAATGCAACAAAATCATCCTTAATACTATTCCAGAAAAATTTGAGAAAATTAAGGTTTGAACTCGGAAACAAATAATTGCACTTAAACTCTCAAAAGGGTTAACTGTTGTTGAAATTTGATGCCTAATTTTTATGCTACTAAAAAAAAAGGATAAAAAGCTTAACTAACTTTACTAATTTGATTGAAGAGACTTGTTGGCGGAAAAAAAAAAGGATCGAATTGATATTTAGTTGACATTATTGGAGCTAAAAGAATAATTTTTCTACCTTTTTTTAAAAAAATCAATAGTCGATAGCTTATTTGGAATATGAGAAAAGAAAAAGTGATGGAGCAAGACAAAATACCTTTGGCGAATTGCTTTAGACAAGATTCATTCTCCCAATAATTAAAGTTATCTTATGGTGGGTAAGCAATAAAAGACCACCAAGATTCCATGCGTAATGGCCTAATGGGGAGATTGGAAAAGCAATGCCATTACCTCAGGGCAAAAGTGAACCAAAAAGAACCTCCATTTTCATGCATTAAAAGCTAAAGTGTTCGTCTCTAGCCAAATTCCCATTTTCAGAATGATCCTATAATCTCATTTCATTTGCTTGATTAGTACTTAATTTAATTTGAAGGGTGTTTGGATTGAGTTCCTAACCTTTAGTTTGTCTAATTTCAATTCTTAATGGTAAAATTGTAAACAAGTTAAGTCAAGTTACTCATAAACTACTTAAAACATGTTTTTAGTCTCATTTACTTCAAATTTTATTTAGAAAAGAATACTAACACTTTTAAGTTATTTTTTAATAAAATATTAGATGTTTTATAAATTTTAATTAAATCACATAAATTACGTGTTTTTTTCTCTTTTTGTTTGTAATAAATTGAAACTTATTTCCATGATAAAGTTAAAAAGGGAAAGAAACCTGGAAGTGCCTGATTTTGGTGCCCATGCCCCATGATACGGAGCAACAGAGATTGGAGAGTTGCTCCACCCACCATAACTAACACATAAAGTTCAAGTACTGTATCGCACTTTCCGTTAAAATAAAGGGACTAATGACGCATTCAATCAGAAAGAAAAGCATTTGTGTCTAAAATCGTAATTTAACAAAATTGAAGTCTCTAACTCTAAGTCCTGAAATAAAAGTTTGTGGCTTTCTTCGGTCTTCACCTACCGCCAACCCTCGCCATCCAGTCGTCAGGCTCCACGTGGGCTATCCCCAGGAAATGTCCGGGCAGTATTGTTCGCCAGTAAATGACGTCGTCGGCGGACGCCAGTTGAGGTAATGAGTGGGCGTAGGTTTAGGGGGGAATGGGGTGCGCAGGATAAAATAATTCGCATATATTTGTCAAAGTTGGGCTACTTTGCTTGTTGCAGCAAGTATCATTTTTGCTACTTTTAGTGGGAACAGATGGACGTTAACGTTTGACTGTAGCGCTTTCAAAAATCAAGCATTCATTTTCTTTCTTCATGGGTCTTCTCTGCTTTTGATTCTTTGTTTGCTTTTCAGTGAGTGGATGATGTTGATCCCCAGAAACTTTTAAGGCATGTAAAAAGGGTATAGAGTTTTGATTCATCAGACTGAGGAGGAGCATGTGGGTTGTGGGAATTCAAGCTAATTGATAAGCAGGTTAGTTCTTCTGAAAGTTTTCTTAAATTTCAGTCTTTTTGGGTTATGATTATGAACAATTTTTTGGTTTGTTGCGTTGTTTGCCGCTTTGCTTGACTGAGATCTTCTCTGCTATTTCTGGGTAATTAGGAACTTGGGTTTGATGTTTGGAAGCTTATAACAAGTAAAGATTGATGCTTTTAAAATATAACAGTTGTTAGTAGCAAGTTATTCTTTGCTAATTCAATTTTTAAGGGGGTCCTATCATACTTGCAGAGTATGAGCTCTCCATCAACTCAACTTACCACAACAATGGGCATCTATGAGCCATTCCACCAGTTAAGCAGGTGGGATGTCGGTGACACCTTTAAAAGTGATGATAGTCCAAATACAGGTTCATCCACAGTTGTCCAGGTGGATGCTAGGCTAGAGAACAAGGTGCATAGACTTTTCTTCTTTGTTATTGTCTGATTGGTTCTTGAGTTGAGTTCTTGAATTTATAATTGATTATTCTCATTTGAAATTGAATTATCTAGTCTGAATATATCTCTTGTGAGCCAATGGAGCATTCCAGAAGTGATCAAGAAGCAAACAAGTCTTCTGATAAGGTAATAAAGTTGCATCTTATGTTTCCTTTCCGCTTCTCACTCTCATAGTGTCTTGTCATCCATGTATCTCTTTATGATTTTGTGGTCTGTAACTATGTTGGGAGCATGCCCCTGCTACTTGATTCCTACGTCGTCTCTAGAAACTGAAAACAGGAAGGTTGCTTCTTTCTCACTTCTTAATTTAATTGAAATTAAAGTTTTTCTGCTGAAAACCCTTTTTCTGGAAGCAGAACTTTTTATTGATTCCTCTTTCCCCCGCCTTTTAAGATATTATATGATCCAATGCCCTCCTTTTAAGATATGGTGTCTATATAGGTCCTGTACTTTCGGGAGCTCTTTCAGCGGATCTGATGGATGAAACTTTTAGATTTTTCTTATATGATTTTGATGATCTTCAAATCCATCTGAAATATTCCACTGTGTTTGATTGTCTTTCTCTTCAAGATTTACCAAAAATTCTGTCTCTTCAAGGTTTAATGGTTTCTGCAGATTGATCTGGCACAGTTGTGAATTACATACCATTCCTCTAATTAAATACCTTGGCAAATCAGACATTATTTTGAGCGTTATTGAACTTCCCACAGATGTCATGTCCATTCCTCTTTTGCCACCATGCAATAACAGTTTTACTTTTCTACAACTACATGTTTTGTCTCTTGTACTATTTCTTTCAAGTTTAGCATCTTTTATGTGAAAAGGCTTGCATTACATACAGATGCAGCGACGTTTGGCACAAAATCGTGAAGCAGCTCGGAAAAGTCGTATGCGGAAAAAGGTAGAAGGAAAAACATTGACATAGAAATTCTATGCCTGTGTTATGGCAGTTTTTCACCCTTTGGACATATCAAAGTAATTTTGATTTTTCTTTTCTTTTTCGTATAGGCCTATGTTCAACAATTAGAAAGTAGCCGCTTGAAATTGGCTCAGTTGGAACAGGAAGTTGACAGAGCTAGGCAGCAGGTTAGGAGGAAGTTCTAATTTTCTTTTCAGTTCTTATCAAAATGCACTTCCTTGTTGATCCGGTATATAGATTTTGTGTATATTAATGGATCAGCCAATGCCTTAATGCAGGGCCTATACGTAGGCAGTACAGATGGTGGTTATTTGGGACTTTCTTCAACTGCAAATGCAGGTTTGTGACTTTGTAGCATCAACCGCTTTTTATCATCATTATTGAGGCAAACCTAATATATACTTTTTGCTTCTTTTTCATCCCTATATTTGCTTTGATGCATCTGTCTTATCATGAATGGTCATTTATGGCCTTGAAGTGTTTCTCTTAGGATATTGCATTCACTCCTTTTGCTTTCTTCTGGCTGTGCCCTGGTTTTTTCTTTACACTGCTGCCCACTGAAATTTGTAGGAATCACTACATTTGAGATGGAATATGCACACTGGGTTGAAGAGCATAATAGACAGATTTGTGAGTTTAGGAATGCACTGCAAGTACATATAACTGATATTGAGCTCCGCATACTGGTAGAAAATGGCTTGAACCACTATTACAATCTTTTCCGGATGAAAGAGAATGCTGCTAAGGCAGATGTCTTCTATTTGATCTCTGGAATCTGGAGAACATCAACGGAACGTTTTTTTCACTGGATTGGAGGATTTCGTCCATCAGAGCTTTTAAATGTATGTCTAGCTTGGCATAGCTCATATTTTCTGAGAATCATGTAACTGCTAATTTTTTTCCTTTTTGTCAATACAGGTTGTCATGCCACAAATTGAGCCGTTGACTGACCTACAACTTGTGGAGGTCAATAACCTCCGACAATCTTCTCAGCAAGCTGAAGATGCTCTCTCTCAAGGAATAGAAAAACTCCAGCAGACTCTAGCTCAGACTATCACTGCTGATCCAGTGAGTTTCAGGTCTCAGATGGCTGCTGCTGTGGAGAAACTGGATGCACTGGAGATCTTTGTCAGCCAGGTGACATATTACGTTCTTTATCTTGAAATATGTTATAGACTGATTTGAATCATTCATCTTTTGCGACATCCCTTACTTTTATGATTTATTTCTTAGTCATAAATTTATCTTGAGTTCAGATTTGCTATATGAGAAACTGAAGGGGAAGAAAAGATGAAGTCAGTCCCATTTGTTTTAAGGAAATTAACTTAACCAGAAAATATTTCCCGCATGTTCCATGTTTGATCTGTAAAAGGGTAATTTCATCCAAAAGAATTCTTTGGTTAGTAGTATTTTGTTTACTGTATTTTGTGTTACCCTTGTCCATAACAGGCAGACCACCTTCGGCAACAAACCTTGCAGCAAATGGCTCGAATCTTAACAACCAGGCAAGCAGCTAGAGGTTTACTTGCTTTGGGAGAGTACTTCCATCGTCTTCGTGCTCTAAGCTCACTTTGGGCTGCTCGTCCTCGTGAACCTGCGTAATCTATCTACGTTCTAATCACCAGAAGTTCAGAAGATGGATTTGTTGAATCTCCAGCCTTTAAGAAAATTTTCATTGTCTTGCTGTATGGACCACAATTTAATCTGTTCTTATGCTTTTTCTAAAGCAGCTTCAGTCAAGAAGCGTGAAAATTTGTAAATATGAACTGTAATGCTGTGTTTCAAGAACAAAACAGGTAATTAAGTTAGCTACAGTGTATGTTGTGTAAAATGTTTGTAGATATGTTACTTTTGAAACACGGTCCCAAGTCATGTATGGAAGTTATGAATTTAACCAAAATTTTGTGGAATTCTGAATTCTTTTAGGTCTTAAGTTTGCCCTAAGTACTTTTTCGAGAGTTCTGTTATGATAGTCACTATTTTTTTTTTTTTTACTTTATATGTTGTTATATATCTATTAAGTGCATATTATGTTACTATGATATTTATAAATAATGGTAATTATAATTAAAATTTAAGATTAATAATAGTAAATATAATTAAAATTTAAGATTAATAATATGATTTGTCACATCATTTAAAATATTAAAGGATAGATTTATTATTATTTAATTATTGATTCTTTTTAATTTTTTAAACACATAATATTATATTTATTAATTAATTTAAAGATGGAATATTAACTACGTCATTAATTCTAAATTCTTATTCTTCTTATCGTTACTCATTCGATAGTTATTTATATCATCCAGAGAGATTTAGCGTTTTATTTATAAAATAACTGGTCAAGTTGAAAACAAGGAAAAATATTGAGGTTTCATTAGCTAAAAGGAAAAGTTTGAGGACTAAAACAAAGTTTTCTGCTATTTTGTTGATAAAAATTGAAATATGGCCAAAAATAAAACCTGTGGGGAACACGTGGCAGTGAAAAGCGCGAGCCTTAACTGTCCACAAATTTCGGGATTCCTGCGCGGCAAAACAAAGAAAACATAGATGCAGTAAGATTCAGAACCTCTTCATTTTCTTCCAAAACATGCAGAATCCCCCATTATAAGCATAAATTCAAAACCCTAATTTATTGACTCTGTACGATCTTTGATAATATTAGTGATAAAGATGAGTAATTTGAGGACGGTTTGTAGGCCGCACACTGTACTCTCTTCGTTTGGCTGTTTCGGTAGGAATCCTGTGTTTCAGAACCCCGATTGCTGGCGTCGACTCTCGTCGCCGTCGATTTTCTCTCCTTCGTTCGGTTCTTCCAGAGACTTGAAGAAGACCGACTTGCGGTTCCGTGTGAATCAGAGGAGAACTGTTGTTAATGCAGCGAATTGGACCGACCCGAAGTCTCCATACGAAACTCTAGGTAATTTTCATTTCAGTTTCTGCTTGGTTACTGAGAAAAGGAAGTAAAATAGTGCATAGATGTTTCATTATTTTCAAGAGCTTTCATATTTGCTGTGTACTATATATGTTAACATTGTTGACAGACTATTACGAAAATGCATGTGAAATTACATAGAAAACTTGAGTTGTTAGTAGTGGTTTATCTTTACACTTATATGCCAATTACTCTTTTTCATCTTAATGTAGGATTCGAAGGGTTACAAAATGAATCTCTGTGAAAATTTTCTCTTGATTCAAAGTTGTATGTAACAGGATTTCTGAATTGCATGATGTAATGGCCTCGTGGAACGATTCAAAGATGCAATTGAGGAAACCTTGTTCTTCATTTCTGTGTTGGAGAAATTTTATTTGCTGTTTCATCATTTAATCAAATATTCCCTCTTGGTAAGAGCAATTAATATTATTATGCCGATGCTATGTTTGAACAGAGTTAGAAAGGAATGCTGATGAAGAACAGATTAAAACTGCATATATAGACGCTTGGCCAAATTCTATCATATTGGCAATCCCCCCATGTGACCCAGTGTTGGTTACGTTGCCTATTGAGTCGCAAGTGAAATGCACATTGATCATGAGTTTGACTTTTCTTAAAAAACAAATACTAAGTAACCTATCCTAGAATTTCCTACTATCAAAAAAAAAAAAAAAAAATTCTATCATACTGATGGTATGCTCCTTGACCTCCACTGCCAAATTTTCAAGTGTTAAGTTTCAAACCTAAAACACTTGCAGTGCACATCATGTCCTTTTTAAGCAGATTTCTTAACATCCATATGTAATTACTTCTTTAACCATCAACCCTTCCTCTTCTCTTTTTGGTGGTGGTCTTGTACTTAGATGTTGCCTCGAAATTTGCGTCTATTCTTACTAACAATCAGTTTTCCCTTGTTCTTAAGTCTATGATGGTAGAGGGACTCTCGAAGAGGGCGAAACTGCTGAAGCTAGATTCATTAAAATTCAAGCTGCTTATGAATTGCTCATAGATGAGGAAAAAAGGAAGCAGTATGATACAGATAACCGAATCAACCCGATGAAGGTAACTTTTTGAAATACCTCTTGGGTACATTTTGATGTTATGTACAGTCTAATGAGGGATTTTCATTTTTAATTTTTAATGTTCTTTTAGGCATCTCAAGCATGGACAGAGTGCGTTATGAGAAAGCGAAAAGCTTGGGATCGGCGGGGTGAGATGGCTGTTGATGCTTGGGCTGAACAACGGCAGTTAGATAGGGTTCTCCGTGGTCGCCGTCTTTCTCGTTCCGAGGTATTTGAGTATTTCAAATTATGCTCCAGGGATTAAAAGGTCTCTATGTTCTCTGCTTACATAGCAACCAGCTTCTATTGGTCGTTGCTGCGCTTGCGTTTTGGGATAGCTACTTTATCTGGAAACTAATATGTGTGTTGTTGCAGAGTGACCCTGAAAAAGAGAGAAAGATCTTGGCAAAAGAAAAGAAGGCATCAGTAGAGTTTTTTAATACAACTATGAGGCGGCATATTCTCGTGTTAAAGAAGAGGGATTTGATGCGAAAGAAAGCAGAACAGGAAAACAAAAGGGTTATCAGTCGGCTTTTAGAGGCAGAAGGGCTTGAACTTGACA